TGGGAGGTGTCCCTGCCCAGGGCAGGGGGTTGGGGCTGGATAACCTTTAAAGGTCTCTTCTAACTCAAACCATTCTATGATTGCATAATCCTTTGAAATTGCTCTTTCCACCTGAAGCCAGAAGAGAAACCAACCATGAAACAGACACATTACCGACACAGAGAAATTATTCTGTGTGTTTGAAGGAACTAACGCTGAGACCAAAGTTTGTAAGTAGAATGTTACAGCTGAAAAAAAAGCAACCCCACAAAGATGAGAATAAAAAGCTGATACATCAGAAGTCAGGAGGAACCTTCAGCTGACTGAGCTCTGAAGTCCCTGACCACAGTGCACCTGTGGCAATATGCCCCTGCACAGATCTCAACACCTGTTGTCAAAGTGGGTTTTGCTCCCTTGCCCTCAAGCATCATCACCTCAGCTGCCCCAGAATGATCCAGTAAGAAAGGAGGCATTGTAAAGATTTATCCCTGAATACTCAGTTTTAATAGAAGTAAAGTTTTGTAACTCATGTATCTACCTGAGGAAAGGTGTTTTCTTCTTGTCAGAAAAGCACAAATATTTACTGGTTTAAGTGCTTGCTGTAACTTTTCTGGGTTTTGCTTGTGGAACAAAGCTATAACATGGCATTGTTTTAATAAAAAACTCTGCAATTTTTAAGTTTCTAAAGGTAAGAGAAACAGCTCCAGAATCATGCTTGTTCAGAGTAGCACAGAGGTGATCCATGCACTAATCCAAATGTTTTACACCAGCAACCGGTGCTGATATGTGATCAGAAAACACAGTACTTACAAAATCATAAAACAGTGAGCATGTTATGACCAATCTTTTCACACTAACAAGCTTCATGAATGACACTTCCAAGCTGGGACCTGGCAAAATGCCATTTGTTCCAATCACAGACAGGAATTCCAGAACCAAATGTTGGCAATGCCCCCAACAACAACCTATCCAGGACTGTATTTTGAAAGTCAAGAAACTGAGTAATTGTTTTGTAACAGCCAATCCAGAAAGCTCATTGCTTGTTTTGACACTGACCAGGATGTTACTGGAAGGTGTCAGCCCCTACACATCCCATGCTTGGAATGTCACCACGCATGGCACTAGTGAATCACACCCTGAGTACTATATCATTCAGAGTTTTCTTGTATACATTTCTTAATTTCTATTTTTCCTTCTCTGTTATTAAGAAATGTAAGCACTTTGTCACCCTTACAACACTTCATGGCAGATTGGCAATCCTGCGTCCCAGATTCAGTAACAGATGCCCTACACGTAAGTGAGGAGTTTTATTACAGATTTTGTAGGAAAAAATACAATTTAACTCAAGTTTCAATGCAAATTCCAGCTTTCGCCACTGAATAAAACTTTGAATTCAAGACTTAAATATGACACTGCTTCCTCTTGAGACTGAAACTTCTTGTCCTGGTTTCACAATGCAAAGCTCATGTGCGATTTTAGATGTAATTGAAGGGATCATAATTACCTTGGAAAACTCATCAGTGTAGGGACATGACAAGAAAGATGGAACACTTTGGGACACTTCTCGCAGCAGAGGAGCTCCCCTCCATTCTGACATACTGCACACCAGTCTTCATTTGGATCATCCTCCTTCCTACCCTCCCCAGCATGAGAGGGTCCTATCCATCCTGTCTTCCCACTGGATGTGTTCTCCTGCAGTGCCCCTGGCTGGTCATCTGTGCTATCCGGTGCATCCGTCCTCAAGACAGCTTCACTGGAAGTGGAGCTGTGGTTGCCATCTAATAGCAAAGAAGTGAGGATGCTCCTTGAGAAGGAAGACTGTGGGAACAAGCACAGGGGGCCAGATTACAAACTCTGAGTAACAACAAGCAAACCAACCTCAGTAACAAGTTTGCATGCAAGCAGCACACAACTTGCAACATGCATGCAAAAATTACTAACAGACCATAACATCAGGCAACTGAACACAAGAAATTAGCTATGAAAGGCTATTTACTGCTCCACTAACAAACAGGATTCTTTGCTGGTCCAAGATCTAGCAACCCTACTTCTGCATGCTGCTGTACTGTGATCAGAACACTCTGAGCAGCACCTGAAAATCTGAGCTCTGCAGGCCATTTCCCATCTTCCCAGGCTCTCAGGGAAGAGAAGCAGTCTGGTTGTGCCAGTTAAATTAACTGGTGGTAGGGCTAGTTTGACTTTGAATGGCATCTCTTCCTTGCCCTGAGCTTTGTCTTTTTCCCCTGAAAGAGTTCCCAGCAGAACACAACTCCCCACAAACACAAACTACCCTCCAAAGAGAAAAGAGATCATTACATTCGGTGGTCGGGGCTCCTCCTCCGTTTCTTGCTTCACTACAACAATTGGGAAGTCAAAGTTTTCATTTGGTGCACTTGACTCCTGCTTAATTCTTATCGGCTCCAACATAACAACTGGGACTCTGTGTGTAGAATCAGCTCCCGGAGGCCTGCTGGAGGAGCCAGAACTGTAAATGGCAAAGAGGCAGGACAAAACGGAAATGAAGAGTCAGAACTGGATGCCTTTTGTACACTGATGCCTTCCAAGACCTCAGGATGCTATTTTGCCCCTTCGAATCCTGAGCATTGCAGTGCTCCTTCTACAGAACACAACATCCAAACTTATTTCCTTGGCTGTATACTGAACAAGCATTACCAAAGGGGAAAATTTTAATGGTGCAGTTCCAGAACTAGAGAATTGCTCATAGTTTGACTTCCCATTAGTGCAAGATTTGCAAATAATCCCCATTTCTTTTATGCCATGCACAAAAAAAATCACTTCCACTGAGCACCCTCCTGCTTCGGAGGAGATGCAGCTGGATCTGGGGAAGGACCAGTGTCTCTCCGGCGCTTAACTGAACACTGAACAACAGAACTGAATAAGGCAGATAAAACACATACTTCCATTTTCTTGGAAGAGTTTCTTACAGCCTTGCAGCTCTACCAGAACTGGGACCCTACTGTTAGAACTAGATCTGTCTTTTTTCACTAGGGTGAGAACAGAGAGCTAAACTCCAAAATACCAGATATTTTTTACATCAAAATGAAGAATTTCGAATCTAACACAATTAATCAAACAGCAGCAGACAGAATCACCCTTTTTTAAATGCAAGTCAGAGACTCTTGAGACAAACCTTTAAAAGTTCCTAAGAGTCCTCCACAAAATTCACCATGAATGAAATAGAGCAGAAGGTGTTCTGTATTACAAAGCACATGCACTTCCAGCTCCAGTAGGATCAATGTCATTCTTCTCTGCATGAAAAATTAATCTCATGTTGGATGTGTGCTCTAATTTATTGCCACACATCAATGGATCTGCACTCTTCAAACAACATTGTGTAAATAAATTCATTCATTGATATTCCATCAGTAAGGGATAAAAACATTTGTGTAGACTCTTAGGAGATATCTAGTGGTCACTTAACTAACTGTACTGCAGCAGCAAACTTTAAATAGTCCTCTTTGTAACATCAGCTCCTTCAATCCGAAGTAATTTATAGTTCCACAAGGAGTTTCAATATGCAGCTTTTTGCTTTAGCTGATTTTTCTGAATTTAAAACCCAATTGGAATTGGAATCCTTTCAATTATACCAACGCAGCCATCACTCACAGAGTGAATACATTGTTAGAGGTGCTATTCATGCATCCCAGAAGAAATTAGCAATAACTACCAGGCCAGACCTGCTAACAGAGGTGAGGCGAATCGACGTCTATGGGCATTAAAGAGAGAAGAGACAGAGGCATGTTCTGTGGAGGTGGGAGTTACTTTTTCTTCTCTCCCACTCTCTTCTTACCTCTCTCTGCTCCCAACACTGGAGGCACTGGGTGAACGAGCTGGAGGGTGTACATTTGTCACACTGACTCCTCCTAGGACAGAGGGATGAGGTTAGAGCAGAACACAGGTCTGTGTCAAGTCTGAGATGTGACTCAGAGAAGTACACAGATTATCCAGCATCCAAATCGAACTTCCCCAGTCACCATCTCTAGCCACTGCCTCCTGGTACATTCCATCTTGCTTTCCCAAACACTTACCTCTTACTGCAGCTCCTAGGCCTGAATTTGCTGCTCACCTGGAGAGTGTCTCTGTTCTATGGATTTCTCTCCCATTTCCTAAGATCTACTGCTTTTTCCCTCCATGTGTTTAAGATCTGGTCACTGAACTTTTAATCACAACACCAAAATATTCTCAACCTCCTCCTAGGCTTTCTACAACTCTGCTTTCATTTTCCTGTTTCTAGTCTTTGATAAAAAGTAATTCACCATGATATCAGTGTTAACATTGCCACATTAGATTTTTCAATTCCAGCACTTCAACAGAAAATTGCACCACAGTTCAGTTACCTGAGAGGCCTGGTGATGGCACTGAGGAGTTTGGTGACTGCACAGTCCTGTTCAAAGGGGGTTTAGGCTGATTCTGCTCTGCAGTGCCATCCTTCCTCACAGCGTTATCCAGTGTGATGTTTCCTGAACAATCAATCTGAGAAGTGGAGAAGTGAGGGGAAGCACTTAGTGTTGGTGGTAGGGAGAGGGAAACAATCCCAAAACAACAGCAAAACCCACCCCATGCCTCTGCCATACTGTTTTTCTGAAAGTGAAGACCCAAATGTATTTCACCTAACATTAACCATTGAGCAGTGAGATGGTTACTTTAAAACAGATCATCTTGCATTGTCTAAAGAGAAAATGAAATGTCCAGATCCAGACAGTGCTTCAGTTTAAGATCAGATGACTCTGTAGGTGCAGTTTCGTTCCACCAGCTGCAGGGAAGGCATACACCAGCAGGGAGCTCTCACACATGCAGATGAATTTTTATTTCCACACCTTCTCTAGACATGCTCACATTATGTGCTCTAGAAAAGATAGTAAGCTATACACAAACTACCCATTAATCCACTGGCCTTGAACAGGACTGGAAGAACCTTTTTGCCACTCCACTGGCCTTGAACAGGACTGGAAGAACCTAAAAGGACACTCCATTCTACCTTTCCCACATACCTCCTGGACAGGGGACTCAAAGCGCAAGCAGCAAATCAACACAGGTTGCTTCCACCCATGGCTCAGCCAGATAACTGAGCTTTGTTTTAGGGGCTTCTGAGCTACCATTCTAACTGCCTGTAGAAATTCCATATCCTGGTTGGCCTTGAACAGGACTGGAAGAACCTAAAAGGACACTCCATTCTACCTTTCCCACATACCTCCTGGACAGGGGACTCAAAGCGCAAGCAGCAAATCAACACAGGTTGCTTCCACCCATGGCTCAGCCAGATAACTGAGCTTTGTTTTAGGGGCTTCTGAGCTACCATTCTAACTGCCTGTAGAAATTCCATATCCTGGTTTGATGAAGAGGAATGACTTTTTGAAGTGTTAGGTGTCTTCCAGTACGTAAGCTGATGTTTGATAAGGAAACAGCTCACCTTGGCATCAGTTTTCTCAGTGGACACCTCACAAATCCACTCACATCAAACACAGTGACCACTGAAACTTCTGTTTATGAGCTAGATTTACCCAAAGTGGATGCAGAAGCCTCTGCAAGGTCAGCATATTTGCAGTGATTTGGGCCATGTATCTTAGTAGCATAAACTCAGACATATACAAGTAGTAGCTCATAACACTGTGCACAAAAATAAGGATGCTAAAATGTCTCACAGGCTCAGTAGTTTTATGACCATGGTGTGGAGTTTACCTTTTAAGCCTGACAGACACTGTGATTCTGTACTCTGTGCACTCCATTCTAACAAACAGAACACAGAGTTCATTGGTGAGGACCAAGCACTAGTGGGAGAAGCACCATCAGCAAACCACTGCTGTCTGTGGACACTGCTTTGTGCTAAGAAAGCTAAGCTCATGCATTTCTCTTAGTATCATTATGGGGCTGGGGAAAACTATGCAGCACCCAAGTAAACAAGTTTAATTACAATTACAGCCTGCAATGTTTATCTCTTAGTTGTCCTAAGAGCTCACAC